AGACTAGAATTTCAGGCAGAGGTAGAGAGAGTGCCGTAATATACTTCCTGCATTCAGTTTGCTCTCAGGTTGGAGGTGCCCTTCGTTGGCCCTTGGCTCATGATCAGGGCTGGCTTTGCAAGTGGGGGCGCCGGAGAGGTCTTCTGGGGAGCCCTCCGTGCCTTGCGTGCACACCCGAGTTCCGCCCTCGTCGTGATGGCAGAGGGGTGAATCTGGCCTGTTCATACGGCAGCTCGGGGTAGCAGACAGGCACAGGCGGAAATTGGTTTCCCCAGCCCAGGTCTCAGAAGGTCTCTGACCACGAAAGCAAACCAAAGAAACCGTGCATCCTGCCTGGACTTCCCCATCTGCATTTGCTTTTCGGGCCCTGCTTTCAGTCTTAGTTGCTCGAATGGAAGTTGTAAGGGTTAGTACTTTGCTCTGACATCCCAGCTGGCTTGGGAACCTGCCTGGTCAGAGCTGTGCGTGCAGACACAGGAAGGCCGAGGAGACCTGTGAAGCCACAGAGCGAAACAGTCCTTTACACTGACCAGAAGATTGAGCCTTCTGGCCAGTGTAAAGGAAGAGGCCGGTGGGCCCTTGTGAGGCCCACAGTCACTTGGGGTGGTGAGTTTAAAGGTCAGTGCTACAGAATTGCCTGATTAAGGTCTGTAAGCAGTTGGGACGTAAGAATTCAGAGTTTGATCAACTTTGTTACCTATCCAGATCCTATAGTTAGCTTAGTCAGCTCCCTGCCCGGCCCTTGGGCACGCGCCTCATTGCATTATCCCAAGTGGTGTCTCATTTACTCTCCATCATGTCAGCCATCCTAAGGACAGTGTTCCCCGGGCGCCTGGGGGGCTCAGTCAGTTAAGCGTCCGACTTCGGCTCAGGTCATGATCTCACGGTTCGTGGATTTGAGCCCCACGTTGGGCTCTGCGCTGGCAGCCCAGGGCCTGCAGCCTGCTTTGGATTCGGTGTCTCCCACTTACTCCCTCTCTGCCCCTCCCCCATGTGCATGTGCTCTCTCGCTCGGTCTCTCTCTCCGTCAAAAACAAATAACTAAAACTTAAAAAACAATGTTACCAGCCCCGTTTTCCAGACAAAGAAACTTAAGACTTGGAGAGGGGACTTTGAAGTATTTTCACCCAAACAGTCTGACCACAGAGCTCACCCTTTTAACCACCATATATAGGATTAGACCGGTCACATCATTTTGAAGTATAAAGAAGGAAATATAAACGGTCAGAAGACCCAACCTCCTTGAGCGGGGAAGGAGAGGCCAGGCAGAGGGAGGACGGAGAAACCCACCATCCCAGCTTTCCCACTCTGAATCCCAGCGAGGACTGTGGCGTCCACAGGCAGGTGCCCAGGTCCCCTCCTGACCCGGTGGTGAGCTGTGCCGTGTGAAGAGAGAGGTGCCCCGGCGTCCTCTGGATTTCTGTGCACCTTCGGGCTCCAAGAGGGGCTTCCTGCCGGCAGACAGACAGCTGCAAAGCCCTGTCTGTTTTGACTCTGCTTGTGAATGAAGGCCGGGCCGTCTCTTTGGTCCAGAGTGTGGTGCGCTTCTAGGTGACCTGTCTGCCACCTGGAAGGTCTTTGACGGAGGAATTGTGCTTTGTCCCTAATGACATGCACAATAATAATAACAGACACAGTAACAGGCCTCTAGTACAGGGTGCTGGGTCATTTATTTGGAAGGGTGTTTTAGTACTAAATAGCTGGAAGAATGGAGAGGGGAGGAGTGCTTTTTATTTTTAAAACTACAGGATTTATTTTTCCACTGCATAGGATCATATTCTGTTCCTAATTTTCAGCCACTTTCAAGTATTTTCTGTGAATTTCAGCTGGTATCAAAAGAAGTGGTCCTTTTGGTGGTTGATTGATTCGTTCACTTGTTGAGTGAATGTTGAGTACCGTCTCTGGGCTGGGTACCATGTTAGCACTGGGATGTGGGCGTGAAAAGGACAGGTATGGTCCTCAGTGAGTTTGCGTTCTTGTGAGGAGACAAGCACGGAAATACTTATCACTTAAGATTGTTTCAAACGCCAGGAAGCATTGAGGTAAACGGCGAGATGAAGGGAGGCCTCGGCGGGTCTTTGCTTTTTCAAAAACAACTTCATTGAGATAGAATTCACGTACACAGTGGACTCAAAGTGTAGAATCCAGTGTGGTTTGTTGTTGTTTTTTAATAAGTCACTGGGTTGTGCAGCCATCACCCAATTCTAAGTTTAGGATATTTACATCCCCTCACCAAAAAACCCCTCATACTCATTAGCAACCCCTCTCCCCTGCCCACAATCTTAGCAGCCACTGATCTACTTTCTGTCTCTAAAAATTTGCCTATTCTGGAGAATTTCAAATAAAAAACGATACAATAAGTGGTCTTTTGTGACTGGCTTCTTTCACTTAGCATAACGCTGTCAAGATTCATCCATGTTATAGCAGGTGTCAGAACTTCGTTTCTTTTATCGTCAGGTAATATTCTGTCGTATGGATATGCCGCACTTTATTCATTCCTCAACGTTTGAGTTATTTCCACCTTTTGATTATCATGAATAGTGCTGCTGTGAGCTTTCGTGTAGAAATCATAGGGAGAGATGTTTTCATTTCTCTTGGGTAAATGCCGAGGGATGGAGTTGCTGGGGTGTAGGGTAACCGTGTTTGATCATGTGAGGAACTGACAGCCACTTTCCACAGCAGCTGCACCATTTTACATTTCCAGCATCAGTGTAGGAGGGCTCCAGGCCCCCAACCTTCGCCACTGCTTGCTTATTATCGGTCTTTTTGGTTACACCTGGTGGCTTAGAAGTAGTAACTTCTGTTGGTTTGGGCATTTCCCTGATGACAAATGATGGTGAGCATCTTTTCATGTGCTTATTGCTCATTTGTGTATTTTATTTGGAGAAATGTCTATTGAAATTCTTCGGTCATTTTAAATTGGATTATTTTCCTTTTGTTGTTGAATTATAAGAGCTGTTTATATTTTCTGCGTGCAAGTCCCTAGCAGGTGTATGACTTGCAGATATTTTCTCCCATTCTGCAGTTTGCCTTTTCACTTTCTTGATGGTATCGTTTGCAGCACAAACATTTTTAATACCATCTTCGCTTTGGGTGTATGACATCGTGATTGGGTATTTGTGTGCATTGCCAAATGATCACCACAGTGAGTCTCATTTAAAGTTTTAAATTGTGATGAAGTCCAACGGATCTCATTTTTCTTTTGTCACTTTTGGTGTTACAGCTAAGCAACCATTACCAAATCCAAGGTCACCAAAGTTTCATCCCTATGTTTTCTTCTGAGTTTCTAGTTTTAACTCTTACATTCAGGTCTGTGAGATCCATTTTGAGTTAATTTTTGTATATGGTGTGAAGTAAGGGCCCACATTTGTTCTTTTGTATGTGAAATACCCGGTGGTGCCAGCACCATTTGTTGAAAAGAACATTCATTCCTTCACTGAATGGACTTGGGACCCCTGTTAAGAATCAGTCGGCCATAGACACGTGGGTTTATTTCTGGGCTCTCAGTCCCATTCCGTTCTTCTGTTCCCCATACCAGTACCATGCTGCCCTGATTATTGTAACTTCATAATAGAGAGTCTTAAGCTCAGGAAGCATCAGTCCTCTGATTTTATTCTTCTTTTTCTATCGTTTTGGCTGTTGCATGTTTCTTTTATTTCCATACTTATTTAAGGGTTAGATTGTCCATTTGTGCCTCCCCCTCCAAAAAAAAAGCCAGCTGGGACTCTCATAGGGATTATGTTGAATCTGTAGACCAATTTGGGGAGTATCGACATTTTAATAATATTAACACTTGATTCGTCTATTTAGATTGTCGCAACTTCTTTCAACAATGTTTTGTAGTTTTTAGTGTATGTCTGGCTCTTCTTGTGTTATATTTATGCCCAAGTATTTTATTCTTTTTGACGATATTGTCAATGGGAGCTTTTTTGTTTTTGTTCTGTTTCTACTGAAGTAGAGTTGACACACGATGTTCTATTAGTTTCGGGTGTAGCGTGTAGTGATTCCAGCATCTCTACGCATCCTGCTCTCTCACCAGTGTGGCCCCCTCTGTCACCACATGGTGCTATCACAGGATCACTGGGCTATATTCCCTGTGTTGCACCTTTTATTCCAATGACCTACCCATTCCCTAACTGGAAGCCCGTATCTCCCCTTCCCCATCACCCACTTTTCCCAGTCTCCACCCCTTCCCTCTGCCAGCCATCCCCATCAGTTCCCTGTAGTGTAAATGGAAGCTTTTCAAAATTTCATTTTGGAATGTTCATTTCTACCGTTCAGAAACCCAGCAGCCTCTCATATATTGATCTTGTATCCTGTGACTTTACTGAATTTGTTTCTTGGTACTCAGTTTTTTTAATGGTTTGCTTGGGATTTTCCATATACAAGATCATCTACAAATAGAGTTTTATATCTTCCTTTCGAATCTGGTAGAGTACGACACCGAATGGTGAGAACAGACACCCTAGTCTCGTTCCTGATCTTGGAGAGAAACCATCCAGTCGTTCGCTGTGTTCCAGAGGGTTTTGAATACCTTGGTGCGATTTCAGTCTCCGATGCTTACTCTGAGGCCTTGCTCGTGCTGCCTTTGCCCTAAACCTAAACAGAAGTGAGGGGGTTGATTCCTTTCCAGTTCCCACAACCTGCATGTCTGTGATTCTGCTTTGGTGTCCTTTCTTCTTAGCTGGTTCCCTTAGACTTGGGGTAGTTCATCCTACAAACTGTGTAGGGGACACCAAAAGCATTGGTGGGTTCTTTTCCCATGGCCGTTTGATCATCTCTGACTTCCATAGTCCTGAACAACCTAACTAGATGGAAACTGCAGAAATTAAAACATGCAAGCAGCAGTGTTTTGGCGGAACTGTCTCCCCTTTGCTTCGTAACTCTAAACAGCCAGGGGAAAAGATTTGTTTGGGGACGACGCTCAATTACGCCAAAGGTCACGGGACCACGGCTCCTCCCCACCTGACCTCTAACCATTAGCACCTCCTTCTTTTCAGACTCTCAGCGCTCCCATCTCTCCTCCTTCACCATGAAGCTCAAGGACAAATTCCACTCGCCCAAAATCAAGCGAACGCCGTCCAAGAAGGGAAAACCAGCTGAGGTGTCTGTGAAAGTCCCGGAGAAGCCTGTGAACAAAGTAAGCGGACTCTCTCTAGGTGTCTCTCCTGGCCTTTGCCTACTTCGAGCCATAGGAGTTTGTGCTGTTTTTAAGTTCAACCCCTGGGGACCCACTTTGAGTGCAGAACACCTATTCTGTAGCGTCCCCCTGTTTCCCGGCAGGGGCCTTGAGCATCTTTGCCAGATGCGAGCCTTTAGGATGGTGAATGTTTCTCCTGTTAATCGGAGTCAGGTTCTGTGGCTTTCCCAGACGTGTCACCCTCTGGGGATTTAAACCCGCTCGGTGCATCATGTTTACGCCCCGGGTGCCGCCTCCCTGCCCCAGAGAGCCCCACAGTGCCCTGGCATGCACACACATAGGGGGACTTTGTGACGTCCAGAACATCCTTCGTTCGGCTTTTGGGCCCGTGCTCTGAGACACGTCAAGTCCGTGAAACCCAGCCAAGGACGTCCTCAAGCACTGGTAACCTCAGCAGGGCCAGTCAAGCCAGATACATGGAAACAGCTATAGATTTTCATCAGCCCCTCCCGTCAGCCTCCAACGGCCATTTCAAGCTCTGTAGGAATCCAGGTTTCCTCTTTTCCAGGAGGCAACAGACAGATTTCTGCCAGAGGGCTACCCTATCCCCTTGGATCTGGAGCAGCAGGCAGTAGAATTTATGTCCACCAGTGCTGTGGCTTCCAGGTCTCAAAGGCAGAAGGTCAGTGTGACGTTAAGAACAATTGGGTTTGCCTTGCCTTCTACTGCAGAATCCTGGCCCATGGTTTTGGGGATGGAAAAAAAGAAAATCTATTGCAATATCCTTGTGTTGAATTGGGTGGCGACTGTGGGCTTAATTGTTCAGGAACCAGTCCAAGGGGCCTTGGGTAACATTAAGAATTTATCTAAGTCTTTGGAGAGAGCTCAGCACTCCTCAACGAAAGCTTGCGGGTCCTCTCTGGGGTTGGTTTAGGTGTGCTGCTTGGGTCCAGCGGGTTCTGCGGGAAGCGGGTGAGTCTTCTCTCTCAAGCCCAGCTCTTCTTGCCTTGACTTGCTAAGATGATATGAACAGTTAAGACAGGGAAGGGCGTCTCCAGTAACAGGTGCTCTGTTAGACATCTAGCAAGACTCAGAGTACGGCGAGAGCGCACAGAGCCAGGCACTCAGAACCGAGCCCCATCGGAGCCAGGGACGCCTTTTGTGCTACTAACATTTATCCAGTTTTCTCTTAGCCCCGTGCCAGCTGCTTTACACTTATTCCTATGTAACACTCATCACAGTCCCAGAAGATGGAAACTTATTTGGCAGAAAAGGAAACTGAGGCTCTAGGGACGTGAAGCACTGGCCACCATCACGCAGGGAAAGGTAGCAGAGCTGAGGTTTGAACGCTGGCTGTCTCACATCCAAGTCCAAACTCCTGTGATACATTCCTCGTTACGAAAGCCAGAACTCATTTTTGAACGTGCCAGAGATCTACATGTTGCCTCTCACACATAACTAGACAGGAAAGCAAAATGAGCCGTTGCGATGCAGAATAAATGCAAGCCTTGGAGAGAAGCGTGTCCTTCCTTCCGGGCCCGCCCAGGGCGTAGTGGGTGGCAGAGCCCTCGTCAAAGCCGTCAGGTTAACGCCACTGGCAAACGCTGCCCCATGACAAAGACACCATGATTCTTGCATTTTAAAGAGTCCCTATATTTTTTTTTATTTTGACCAGTAGAATATCTTAAAATTCTAGTTAAAAGTAGAGAAAATTAAGGTTTAAGTCTAAAGTCTTTCGTTGAATAACCCCTTTTCCCACCTCATTTGTTAGCAAAAGAGGCTGAAGAAAAAGAGTAAATAAAGTGTTCAGTGTTTGCCAGGTTGATCGAATTCCAGATCGAAGAAGAATAGCAATAAAGTGGAAGATTGGCATGTCCCCGAGTCATTTTCCATGTCCCCCCGCATCGTTCGGCCCCCTCTGGGAGCCGAGTCTGGGGACGAAGCCCACGCACAGGGCCCGTCAGGGTAGAGTGGCTGCAGCACCCGCGTGCCAGCAGTCCACGCTGCCAAGAGCCTGGTCCGGCCACTCGGTTCTTGGAACTTTCCCCACTTTCTTCATTACTCCAAGAGAGGTCATGGCGGGGCGGGGTGGGGGGGCAGATTCAGTGCTGAGGTGTCCTTCACTTGGCATGGGTTCCTGCCCATTCCAGGGGACGTCGGCAATGTCTGGAGACACTTTGAGTTGTCACGACTAGAAAGGTGAAGCAGGTGCTGCTAGATCTGCTGGGCAGAAGCCGGGGTGCCCTGGCTCATAGACCCCCCAACACGGGACAGCCCCCCCCCCCAGCAGAGGATTACCCAGCCCCAGGTATCGGTAGTGCTGCAGCTGAGAACCCCCATTCCGTAGCAAGGAACTGTGGGCATGACCTTTGCCCAGGAAGACCACTACTCCGGGTTTTGGTGTCGCCCTTTAAGAAGGGTTGGATTACTCTGCTCTGTCCCGGGTCAGCTGCCTGAGACAACATGAGTGCAAACCTGTTGTCTAATACAAGCCCACGGGCACAACGAGGGGGGGTGTTGGGGAATCTGCCAACAGGTGTGAACTTGGAAGATTGTCGAAGAAATCTGAAAACACATCTGTCATTTGCTGTCATCGCTACATATTGCTTATGAGCTCCCTTGCCTCTTAGAGCCGTGTGTGCCCTCATTTTAATCCCACTTTTTATGCCTGACATTCCCTGTTTAAACACACGGAGGCTTGCAGCTCAGTAGACAGCACAGATTCAGATCCATCTGTGGCTTGCTGAGGGTTGCTCGTGGCCCAGGCCCTGTCCCGGGTGACTTCACGTGCTGTCTCATCTACTCCTCTCCGTAACTGTGTGCGAAACCGTTTATTATTCCAAATACACAGAGTTTGGGCTCTGGCCCACATTTTCTTTTCTGTTTTTTTTTTCTTTTTTTTTAATGTTTGTTTATTTTTGAGAGAAAGAGAGCATGAGCAGGGAAGGGGCAGAGAGAGAAGGAGACACAGAATCCAAAGCAGGCTCCAGGCTCTGAGCTGTCAGCACAGAACCCTACGTGGGGCTCGAACTCGCAGACCGAAAGATCATGACCTGAGCTGAAGTCGGACACCTAACCAACTGAGCCACCCAGGTGCCCCGGCCCACTTTTTTTTTTTTAATGTTTATTTATTTTTGAGAGAGGCAGAGTGTGAGTGGGGGAGGGGTAAAGAGAGGGGGAGACGCAGAACCCAAAGTAGGCTCCAGGCTCTGAGCTGTCAGCACAGAACCCTACGTGGGGCTTGAACTCACAGAGTGCAGGATCATGACCTGAGCCGAAGTCGGACATTGAACCGACTGAGCCACCCAGGCGCTCCTGACCCATGATTTTTTGATCAAAATCTGCTTTTCCCTTAAACTTTATGCACTACTTCCACACACATTCTCATTCATGTCCCCACAGCAAGCTCTTTCGATTAGCCACATTAGGTAATATCCTCCCCTTTTTTCAGATGCAGAGCCTGAAGCCACTAGTCCCCAAGCCCAGCAGTGGCTTCGCACCTAGGCCCTTCCTCAACACCACTACCCTCAGGTGGCTCCCAGTCTGTGTAGGGCCGGTGGCTGGTGCAGGGAGGTTGTGCCCGGCAAGGGTGGGGGAGGGAGCTCCTGCCCCTGGGGCTGCGCAGCTGGGCAGCTCGAGCAGGGCCAAAGCTGTGGGTTCCCGGTTCTAGCGAGGGCTCCATCTCGTCTCCTTGTATGCCCTTCTGACCGCTGGTGGCATTTTGCAAGAAGCCAGAGTCAAACAGGAGCAGAGGTGCTGTGACCGCACGGTGTTCAGAGGCCGTGAATTCTGGGAGTGCAGTTTGCTGGAGAGGTAACGGACAGAACCAGACTCTGCTAAGTTGTCAGCTCCTTCGGTAGGAGCCCAGGGCAGCCTGGCTCTTCAGTGACTCATTTGATCTCTCTGCACATGACAGAAGATTCTTTTTGCTCTGAAGTGCCTTCCTGCCCTTACTGGGCACCTCCCATCTTCAGGTCAGCCCCTTTCTTCCTCGCAAGCCTGATGACATTTTCTTTCTTTCTTTTTTTAATTTTTTTAAATGTTTATTTTTGAGAGAGAGAGACAGCATGAGCAGGGAAGGGACAGAGAGGGAGGGGGAGACAGAGAGCCTGAAGCAGGCTCCAGGCTCTGAGCTGCCAGCACAGAGCCTGAGCTGGGGCTCGAACTCGTGAACTGTGAGTTCATGACCTGAGCCAAGGTCAGATGCTTGACAGACAGAGCCACCCAGGTGCTCCCCGATGCCATTTTCTTATAAGGTTTCCTGCTTCCTCCCCATCCTTCATCATCCCTGGTTCCAAACATGTCCCGATGTGCTGAGATGGCAGTGCTATGGTCAGGGGCCTCTGGCCACGCTGGCCGCCAGGATTTCAGGCACATTGATGTCTGAATGTGATTCCTTCATCCTCATGTTCTTTGTGGCCCCGGTGGGTGACGGCAAGGCAGAGAGCTGTTGTCCGTGAGGTGGGTAACAGGTGGCTGGCCCCAGAAACAGTCAATAAACATGTGAGATCACGAGAAGAGAAAAGGTGAAGGTAAAGAGGCACTCCCCTCTCCTCAGAGGACCTTCTCTCTGTGCGCTACAGACCACCTTTGGGGAAGTACCCCCTGGAGAGAAATCAAACTGGGTCTTTGAAAGTTGTCTGACTAAAGAAGCTGTTTACTTTTCAATCCCGTTTGTATCTTTTTCTTGTGCTATTCCCACGGAATAAGTGCCTCCAGAATGGAATGTTTTTCTTTAAAGTGTTTAAGAAGAAGAGAGCTAGTGTTCAGAATCAGAATCGCTTCTTATATATCATTGGCTTATTTCCTTGTAGATTATTATTTAAATCGGCATTTTTCTGGAAATGTTTTTCTTGGCCCTGGTTGCTTTTATTTCTATACCCGCCAGACCTCAGAGAACGCACCGGTGGCAGCTTTCCGCATTTACAGCGATCGTAATTTGCGCTGGACTACGTAATAAGTTCTACTTGGATAGGAAACCCATTTTTGGATTTATCTGTTCTATAGATCATCCTTGATTTCCCTTACCTGCCAACCAGCTGGGACCGAGGCCTCTGACATTAGGACCATGTAGAGGGAGGTTGGAGAAAGGCACCAAGGGAGAGGGTGTGTGGGTGTGCGCACGCACGTCCACTGACTGCATTTGAGGCATCCTGTAGTCAAGGAGAAAAGATTTGGGCGTGGGAGTTTGAATACTGGTAAGTGCAGGGCTCTGGGCTTTACGCTGCTCCCTGCTGGGCTTTCTTCGGGAGCAGAGGGACTGTGGATGCTGTCAGCATTTGCTGCACGAGTGAGGATTGAATCATTGCACCTGCTCCAGCCTCTTCCCCTTTTCACCCCAGGGCATCCACCCCTTCTAGCCCTGGGGTGTCCAGACCCTCTGGGAGAGCCAAGCCATTTCATGCAGCGGGAGCTACACCTTCGGATTCAGCGTGGGAATCTAGTGAGGGATCATTTGAGAATGGGCTTGGAATGCAAATGCCTCTGACCGTCTTATACTGACCCTCAGATCTTTGAAAGGCCTGGGATCTCTTGATTTGATTTACTGGCTAGCTATGCACCATGAGATTTAACTGCGGGTTCTCTACGTTTCCTACAGCCATCAGCAAATTAGTCCTCACTGTGCTAAGGAGTGATAATACCTCAGTGTGGTGGGGGGTTCCTCGCAGCAGGGAGGCCACATCAGTCTCTGTACCAGGCAGGGAATTCAGAAATGTCTCAGTGAACTGTCTTGGTCCGAGCTCCCTTCTGCTTCCTAGTTCAGCCTCTGTATCCTGACTGCAAGCCTTAGAAAGTAATTTGGCCTGGTTTCTGCAGCAAGAAGCCTTTTCTGCTCGCATCAATCTCAAGCTAGTTGATAGGAAATCATACTTCAGTTTTTTCGAAACCGCTCCCTTTAATCTCTCTCCTCCCTCCTTATGCTTAACATTTCCTTTCAGAACCTGAGCTGGCTGGAAGAGAAAGAGAAAGAGGTGGTTAGTGCCTTGCGCTACTTTAAGACCATTGTGGACAAAATGGCTATTGATAAGAAGGTACTCGAGATGCTTCCGGGGTCAGCCAGCAAGGTGCTGGAGGCCATCTTACCCCTGGTGCAGAGCGATCCTCGAATTCAGCACAGGTGAGTCACCCTGAGACCCCTTGACTGTGTCAGCGCAAGGGGCAGTTCAAACTTAGGGCTCCTCGGAAGAGCAAGGGGCGTGGGGAGGGAAAAGAGCCTTCTCTACGCCCTTCCCAGCTATGACTTGATGCTCTCCCAAGGCAGAGGTCATTGTTGCTCATGAGGGCCTTGACCCCGAAGGAGATTTCTAGCCTTGCTAGGACTGTAGCCACAGGGCAAGTCTGTGGTGGCTTCTTTGCCTTAGGTCATTGGCAATCATCTCATTGATTTGGACACGTTTCTAGTCCCCTTCCACTGACTGGGGTTTATTTTATCACGACATAAATCCTCTTAATATCAAGACCTAGCCTGGCAGAGACCTCAGCTGCTTAGCTGATTGGGCCACGAGAGGGCGAGAGTCCTGCTAGAGCCTGGATTAATGAAACCTTTAACCGTATCGAGCCAGGACCCCCCAGACAGCACCTAGGTTCCCTAGGAGCCAGGGATGTCGGGAGGAGCCAGGCCCCGCCCCAGCAAGCTTTCCTTGAGGAACTCATATGGCTGGAGTGTGTTTTCCAGTCTTTGTTGTTAGGTAGAGGAGGAAGAGGGATAGTAACTGCAGTCTTCAGTGAAAGCCTAGCAGGAGCTTCTTCTTGAGAGGCTGTCAGATGCCTGCCGGCTCTGTGTTTCTTTCCTGGTACCTGTTCAGGATAAAAGCATCCCTGTTTTCAGTTCCTCGAGATCGCTTAGTGTCCGTAAAGCCCCGTGAGATTGAGCCTTTGTGAACTGTTCTTGGAACTTGGCAACGGAGCGCATAGTTTTCTTCTTCTGGGAGAGAATGCAAACAGTGTCTTCATTTCCAAGCAGCTCTCTGGCCCGGGCCGTCCACCCTGGAGCTGCAGCTGACCTCTGTAGATTGTGGCCTTTCGGCCAGTTGGTGGCGGAGGGAAAAACTGTCGGGATGGCTTGGCCCTGCTACCATCTTCGCTTTTCCGGGCCTTTCTCCTGTCCCGGAGGAGGCACTTGAGGAAATGAGTCCCTTCGTGCCCTGTTGAGTGGCCACACGTGGAGTGTTTTATGTGCGGGGCTCGAGACCGAGCACGTGTGTCTGCCGTAGTTAACGCCATGCCCAGCTTGTAGAAGGGCCCAGTGCTGTTCTCCTTGGAAGGGGATGTGCCCAGTGGTACACTAGGGTCAGATGTGTAGACGGCTTTTTATGCAGAGTGCTCCTCCCCCGCTTCTTGCGTGAGTGTCCCTACCGCGGTGGAGTTAGAATCTAGTGGTACCCAGCGGAGGTACCCAGCAGAAGCTCTGCTGGGATTTGAAGGGGGGAGAGTCAGGGGAGACCCCAGAGTACAATTAAACTTCCCGCAGGAGGAGATGCTGGAGCGGGACCTGAAGGAAGAGTGGGAATTCGGCCTGCGGTCCAGGCAGAGGGACGGGAAAGCAAAGGGTCTGGGCCCGGCAGGGTGCGGGTGTCCCTGGAGGGCGGAGACACGGCAGTCGTGGGGCAGAAGGGGGCCTCGCGGGGGCACTGGCCGAGGCACGGTGGGCAGCTGGGGTGTGTGCCACTGCCCCCCGCCGGCCACACGTGCGAGCCTCCCTAGGACAACCCGGGACAGTCCTGTAGCTGAGTCCTGGCTGCTGGGGCTATGGCTCCTGGAGTGCTAGCCTGAGGCTGTGCCAAGCAGCCTCCTTTCCAGAGGCACAGACCCTGTGATCAAGTGAGGGGACAGTGGTTTGGGGGCATTTTGTGTCTCTGGGGAGATTTTATAACTATGTTGTAATCAACAAAAATTACTTGGTGTCTGTAGCAGTTTTCTAGAGGGAAACAGAAAGGCCCGGGTGTGGCCGTAGGAGCGATGACTTTCTCTTCTCGCGTAGGCCTTTGGCTAATACCAAGGGTTCTTCTTCCTGAAGTTCTTGCAAAGCCAATTGATGATCTTATTCTCGATCACCCGGATATCTCCTCCTCAAAGGTTTCTCTTAGATTCCTTCCATCATCTCGTTCCTCCCAGTGCAGCTTGTAAGCTGGAAGGCGTTTCCTGCCTTCTGCTCAGAGCTTTTCTGTGGGTTGGGTCCCAGCTGGCGGGCCCTCGGTCTCCCTCCGCTGGGGTGCTGGGGCAGCGGCGGACCGGCCTTGGAGCAAGCAGCCTGCTGTTCTGCGTGAAAATGAGTGGAGGGGCTTTCTCCCGTGCCAGGGGGGGTCCCCGGGGACGTTTGGCCCACTGGACATTCTCCTAGTACAGGACCCTTCTTCCTTCCTTAACGGCTTAGCCCCTGACCCAGAGGAGCATTCCAGGCCAGCGCAGTGAAGCGTGGCCTCAAGTACCACATTCTTCAGGTGCCCTCAGGACGTTCCCGCTCACTGCAGGTGGAAATGAAGTATTACGTAAGAGTGTCTCCCAGCCTCCTTTTCATCTAGTTATGGCCAGTAGGTTGACAATATGATTGACACTTTGGCGGAGTCCCCCATGAGCACTTTGGCAGAAGGCGGCCATCTTTGTTGAAAGAGACCTCACCTGGCCGTGCAAGGAGGAGGAGGGGGCGGCCTGGAGTTGCTAGAAGGGCCTTCCCCCCACCTCCCTCAGGATGGCCCCACCGATGGCCCGGCCCCCTGCCTGGGGAGACCAGCTCCTGTCCCCTCCCTCAGCCCTCTTCCCAGCACCCAGTACTGTCACTCGCATTATTCTCTGAGGCAGCCAAAGCCTGGCTCTCCCGGGGCCCCTTTGGTAGACTGTTCTGGTTTCTAAGGGGACTTGAGGAGTTTGCTCTCATTCTCCCTGACTGCTCGCTTCTCCTGCTGGAACACGCACAGAGCGCAGCGACGGGCTCAATGGAAAATGTAGATCTCCTGGAGGGTGTTTTGCTCTCACCTGATTCTGAGGAGCTTCTCACTAGAGCCTTGTTTGGTTCAAGGTTTCATTATAAACAGCTTTGTTTTTTGAACCTGTTTGAATCGTGGCTTACAATATTATATCTTTTCCTCCAAATTCAGCCTCTGGCTGCTCCATGTCTGCCTCATTCTTTTTCTCCCCCAACTCTTTTTTGAGGGGAAGCAGGGGCATCCCCCAGATTTTCCACATTATTGCTCTTCTTCTCTTGTGATATGTAACATTTAAAATGGAAAAATGATCCTTTCCATAATTCCTAAAGAAAACTATCTCTGGTTAATTATAAGTGTGTGGGAGCTCTATCAGGTCTACATTTTGGCCTCCCCTCTCCACTCCCCAAGTCATCGGAAGTACCCGGGCCTTCCCGTCTGTGTGCGCTGGCGGCGCAGGGAGCCCCTCCCCTGCTGTCCTGCTTGAAATGCTCTGTGTCATTAGCCCGTGGCTCTGGCAGGTCTGCCGTGGCCCTGGTGCAGAGGAGGGGGCTCAGCCCATGTTGGAAGGAATTCTAGCGAGCTACAGAGCCATTGGGGCTCATGCTTAGAGGCTGTTCCCATAAAGGATCCTGCCTGCTAAAATGCCACAAACCTTGTGCCACATCTAACATGCGTGTTAGTCTGCCTGAAAACAAGTGTGTAGTGCTTTTGACCAATGATTAGCAGCTAGGAGGAAGGGAGGGGGGCTCCATGCCTCGACAGAGGTCAGAATCATGCAAGGGCCGGGGAGCTCGAAGAAGCATATAAACTACAGAAATAAGCAAATAAACTGTGGTGGAATTTTTATAGGTGACATGTGGAAAATGAAAAAAAAATTGTAACAGTCTAGTAGAGTCTGAACCTCTGTACAGGGTACGTTGGATGTGTCAGGGCATAGGTCCAGGGGGAATGTTTGTTATGAAAAGGAGGCATGGGTCTTCCGCAAAGAAAGATTGAGAAATAAACCCTCATCCCCGAGAAACTATTAACCAGTAGCTTCAAGTAACAGCCGTGCTTCAGACGGTTCACATCCTCTAAGAAACTCTTCTCTTCCCCCAGCTCAGCCCTCTCCTCCTGCTACAGCCGGGTGTACCAGAGTCTTGCCAACCTCATCCGCTGGTCCGACCAAGTGATGCTGGAAGGGGTGAACTCAGAAGATAAGGAGATGGTCACAACGGTGAAAGGGGTCATCAAGGCCGTGCTGGACGGAGTGAAGGTAGGACATGGGGCTGCCGGCGGCCTCCCCGCTGGGCGTCTGTCACACAGCAGCTTATTCCCAGGCTTCACACGGGAGAGTGAGCATTTCCAAGCACCTCTGCTGTTACCGCGCTGCTCTGTCCGGGGCCACTGCTCTCCAGGACAGATGGCTCTCAGGGCACCGAGGCCTGCTTGGCTCGGGGGTGAGAAAAGCTGCCAGGCGCGTGGTCAGCCTGTCCTGAGCGTGTTCCCAGTGCTCAGTGAGTCTGCGTGTCACAGCCCCGGCGGTGCGTGCCTGCCAGTCGACAGAGCACCGGGGATCTTGTCTTTGCGCTGAACTCGCAAAGACTCGCAAAGACTCGCTGAACCTAGAGCAGAACTCGCCGCAAGTCGGTCGCTACCTTTTCACATTCTAAGAGCTTCTGGATTCTTGGTAGAAAAGTAGAATTGAGATGGGTTAGAAGTGAACCCTTCCGGATCTGATGCTCTTGACTCGTTCTGTGAATTTATTGGCCAGAGAAGCCGGAAACAGCCTGATGGGAAATTACGAAGCCTCGTTAAGGTGGGAAGCAGAGGCCCTAGAGGGTCTGGGTTGGGGTCCATACGACAAACACTAATTGACACAATAGGTCCTGTGGGTGAGGAGCAAGACAGGATTAGCGACCGGGAGGTGTGACGTGGGTGAGGGTTGGGATCCGGACTGTGGGCAGTGGGAAAGTGGAGACCCTGCTCTTCTGCGAGGCCATGCTAGTAGTGGAAAGAGGGCTAGCCTGGGGCCCACTGGGCGAGGTTTGAATCCAAGTTCACCACTTAACTAGTCTGTAAACCTGAGCAGTCTACTCAGTCCGAGGCGCTGTACCTTAATTAACTCATCTGTGAAATGGGTTACAATGATAGTGCCGTATATCCTAGGATTGCAGGAATTGTTAAATTAGTTAATACATAGAAAGTTCTTAGAACAACACCTAGTAAATACTAAGCACTCAGACTTTAGCTGCTGTTCATTATTGATTTTGTGGTGCTAGTTGCATGCTTGGAGACCAGGCTCTTGGCTTAGGGTGAAGAAGAAAACAGCTGTGCCATCCTCCTTTCTACACCCTTCAGTCCAAAGTTGTAGCCGAGGTACTTAACCTAGGTCCAAGAAAACCTCCTTCACCACTCAGCCGTCCCATCAGATTCCTAAAAGCTGCCTCCTGGGATTGACATCCCGTGGAAGTTCTGGAAGCTCTAGAGAGTCAAATGAGGACCCCCAGATGGCAGAGGCACAGAGGGAAGGCTAAGAAAGCCTTGCTTAGCATTATGAATTGCTCGGGAATGAATCGTGTCGACCGGGGCCACATGAGTAGGGCTGCGCATCTGTGGGGACGTCAGGGAGCTCTTTTAGACGGAGGCTTGGCCAGACGCCACCACGTCCCCTCCGATGGCCCGGGTTCTCTACGCTCCCCAGAGTCTTGTAAAGGGTCTGCCCTGTCTGTGCTGCCTGCAGTATACACATTCTCCCCATCGCTTTCCCCTGGAGTTCCCTGAGGTCGGCAGTGCAGAACGAGACGTGACCTGGGTCACACTCTGCCGGCAGAGTGTGTGGAGTTCTGGCTTGCGCACCCCCCTGCTCTTCCTGTCCAGGCTTCTGGAAATGCTGTTATTGAAAGTTGTTATTTTGCGAGTGACATTGTTCAGATTTCCTTGTACTAAGTTATAACGAGATGATCGAAACAAGTTAGAGGCCCCGGAACAGACGGGATGGAGCTTCTGTGTGCAAAGCTTTGTCACGTTCCAAGTCGCTTTTCATTATGGGATCATTAGAGGGCCCCAGTATGCATTGAAGGGCACGTCTAAAAGCAGTGTTTCTCTGATTTCTCACATTGACTGATGAGAGAGGGAGAGAGAAACCTACAGATTGTGAACCTGTCAGTGTCTGGAAACAAATAACTTTTCCACAATTGTTTTTAAGTTGTTTATTTTGAGAGAGAGAGAGACAGAGACAGAGAAACAGAGAATCCAAAGCAGGCCCTGCACTGAGCCCTCAGCACAGAGCCCCATGTGGGGCTTGAACTCATGAACCGTGAGATCATGACCTGAGATGAAACCAAGACATACTCTCAACTCTGGATTTCAGCTCAGGTTTGATCCAAAAGTTGTGGGATCAAGCCCTGCATTGAGGTCTGCACTGAGCACGGAGTCTGCTTGAGGTTCTCTCTCTCCCTCCCCTCCCCCTCCGCATTTTCCTCCCCCCCCAAAATAAAATTAAAAAATAAAAATACTTGACCCAGAACAAAGAGTGTCTAGGTGATGACCTCTGTGAATCCAGTTTTGTCTCGTGTATTCAGGATTCATTTCTCGAGAGCCTCCTCGAATACCAGTCAGGGTCAGAGGACTGGGAATACGGCGATAAAACTGGCACAGCCCCTGAGCGGCAGCTCAGGATCCACAGGGGAGGAGGGCCGCAGAACGTGTAATTCTGTAAGCGTGACGAGGCCTGGCATTCCGGAGGAAAGTGGCACGTGGCCTCACTTGGTCAGGTGTTTGGGTGTTTCCTATTTCCGGGTGGTCAGAGACTCTGCGCTGAGGGAGAGACAGGCCAAAGCCAGAAGGGGGTGTGCGGGGATCGGCCTGTCGCTGGAATCAGTCGAGGCTGCAGGGATGGTCTGAACACCGAACTGGTGCGTTTGTTGCCAGGATGTCACAGTGACAGCAGCTGGCATTAGTCCCTCCCAGGGCTCCTAGGGACTCTTGCAGTGGGTGTGGTCGCCCCTTCACAGGTGCGGGAACTGGCTCAGGCAGCCCAGCGGTCAGCAGCAAGGTCATGACCCCACCCGGGCCTGCCGGACCCCAGACCCCTGCACTTCCTGTCACCCTTGGCCGGCCTCCTCCCACGTGAGGGGGACACAGCGTAGCCCAGGGGCTGCCTACGCCCCCCCCCCCCCCCCCCCTCCCACCCGGCCTCCAGTCTCTCCTGTCCCCACCAGGCTGAGGACACCGTATGAGCCTGGCGGTGGTGATGCGAGAGGGCCTCATTCACTGGGAGGGACGGGCCGTTCAGGGGCCATGAGGATGGCGTCATCCCGCCCGTAGCCGAGAGGCTGGCACGTGCCTTTAAACTGACTCCCGTCTTCCCAAGTAACGCACTTCAATTTCCTGTGAAACTAGAGGCTGAATTGGATTCAGGTTTTTCTATTTCAGGTGCTCCCTCAGTGCTGCCCTGCACCTCTGTCAAGAGGCATCGTTCCCATTTTATTTTAATTTTTTTTAAAGTTCATTTATGTATTTTTGAGGGAGAGAGGGAGAATGAGCATAAGCAGGAGGAGGAGCAGAGAGAGGATGATCTGAAGTAGGTTCAGCACAGAGCCCGACACGGGTCTTGAACTCATGAACCATGAGATCAGGACCTGAGCCGGGGTCAGACTCTTAACCGACCAAGCCCCCCAGGCGCGCCTCCCTCTCTGACGTTAGTAGCCATCCGTGATTTTTGCCTAGATCCATTCACTGATCAGAGGTTTCAGAACGACAGCTTCCTAATGCTTCGTGCTGAGAAACACATAAATGACAGGCGCCCCCCTTGTCAACCGAGGGATCGTTCCGATAGAAGAGGCAGGAGCAGGGCTTAATTCCTTCGTTTATTCACCAGTTTTCAAAATAACCCGTGTTTACTGTCACCCTTTAACATGACCAGTGAGTTGAGCTTTTTAAAATACCCTTTTGAACTCACAGGTTCATAGGCATCGGCCATGCCCCAGTGCCCCGTGCTTCCTGGGGCCCAGGCCCCATCTTTGCCACCGAAGAGGTCCCTGTGACGTGACCCTAGAAGTCTTCGATGGTTTTCTTCTTAGTTGTCCTGGTATGAAAATCTGCTCCAGGCTTTTATCATCTGATAGTTACTTGGGGGATGGGGTGGGGATAAACGGCTTTATTGAGCTATAATTCCCATACCATATAATTCACTCACTTAAAATATATATAGTGATTTTTTTTTTTTACTGTATTCACAGACTTGTACAGCCATCACCACAGTCCATTTTAGAACATCTTCATCACCTTCCGAAAGTAACTGTCCACCCTTTATGATCTCCCCTTCTCCCCGCCATGTCTTTCCATCCTCCCCACCCCCCAGCCTTAGGCAGCCTGACCTCTATATTTGCCTATTCTAGACATTTCATATAAAAGGAGTCGTGTACTCTGTGGCTTTTTGTGACCGGCTCCTGTCAGTTAGTATAATGGTTTTGGAGTTCACACATGCTGTAGCATATATCGGTACATCCTTTCTTTTTATAGCCAAATAATATTCCACTGTGTGGATATACCACGTCACACTGTTTTCTCGTGGGCGTTTGGACATCTGAGTTTCCGCCTTTGGGCACCTCTGAGGAACGCCGCGGTGAGCGCTCCTGGACACCTTGCCGTGGGGGTGTGTCTTCGTCTCTCCTGGTGGGACGCCTCGGAGCACCTTTGCGGCGCCACGCGGCAGCTCTGGGCTCCATCTGGTGTTTCCTAAAGCAGCTGCGTCATTCTGTGTCTTCACCCGTGGAGGATACGGCTTCGGCTCCTCAGCCTTCTCCACGGCCTCCATTCCCACCGGTTCTTTTTGGCAGAGCCGTCTCGGTGGTGTGGAGCGGTTCTGATGTGCATTTCCGTGAGAGCTTATCATGTCCAGTCTCTGTTCGTGCACTTACTGGCCATCTGTCTGTCTCTCTGGAAAAATGTCTGTTCGAGTCCTTTGCACACTTTTTAACTGGATTTTCTTTGTATGATTGAGCTATAAGGTACCTTGTATGTTTCTCACCACAGAACTGGAATCAGCCAGTCCTCTAAGGAGCCCTCTGCTGGGCGGTGGGGTTGAGATGTCATCGCTACTGGGGGCTCCCGCCATTAGATTCGCTAAGGCCAGACGCATCTGGAGTTTCTCCTGTACTTGCAGTTCACGGTCAGCACCACCAGGGTTTCCACTTAACCTCATCAGATTCGGGGCCCAGTTTTTTTCCTCCCGCACTGAACTTGAGGTCTTTTCTGGCTGCCATGTCTTTGGTCCACTTGAGGACGGACAGCCAGTGTCTTGTGGCTGGAGCGACCCTTGGGGAGCTGACTTCAGGAGTCACTCAGCACCCAGCCCACTGTTCACAGCGCTCCCTGAGCCGGAGAGGGAGGCCACTTCCTCTGCTCTGTTGCTGCCTCAGTGATTTTGTTCTGCCGCTTCGGTGCGGGAAACTCCCGCTGGTGGCCTCCGTGCAGTGTCCTTAGGGAAGGACTTGTTGTAGGACAGCTATTCGAGAGAGGGGCTCTGTCATGGCCTGAACCCAGAAGACTCACAGGGCCAGGAAGTGACGGAGGATGGACAGCAAGGGGCCGGGCTGAGGCGGGAGCAAGAGCGGTGGCCCCTGCTCATAGAGCGGTGCGCTTCCCAGGGCATGAGCCCGGGCGGGCACCAGCCGCGGCATGGTGGCCTTGTGGCGGGGACAGCATGGCAGCCGGCCTTAGGAGCATTGCCCACAGGCACGTAGGGAGCCCTTTCCTGGCGCGGCCCGTGTGCTCTCTGCCACCAGGGGCGGCGTCTTCGCGCCAGGGAGAAGGCGGAAGCACAGCTCCTACTTGGACTTGTTGAAGGTCACTTAAGATAGGAGCATCTCTGTGACCATTTTCAGTACGAATACAGTGAGCACAGAAATAAAGTATTATGCCCTTAGAAAAAGGCTTTTCCCCATTCCCTTTGGCCTTTTGAAGACTGCTTTTCAGTGAGCCGGTAGATGTGTGGCTTCCAGCCGCAGGCTGTGGACGCAGCCCGGCGCGCCTTCCACAGACTCTCACACCTGAAAAGTCTGGCCTCCCTCTTGGAGACTCTGCCTTTAGCGGGAATCGGGCTCCTGCCGCGTCCCAGACGGCCGGCTTGGAGTGAGATTACGGTTGTTGGCGCAGTAGCCAGATACGCGCACCTTCTAGACGTTCTCTTCTGCCTCCCCGTTGGGCTGGAAGGGTGGTAGGGGTAGAAAAGCTGCCTGCCCCTCTGACACCCTCCAGCAGCCACGGCCGGCCACCCAGCGGAAGGGAGTTACTGCGATCGTGCCGCCGTCTTGGAGTTCAGGTATGCACTTGACTTACGTGTCCGTCATCCCATGACCCCTGCGCCATTGCCCAGCCGCCTCTCCGGAAAGATGGCATTCTAATTATAATTGCTCGTGCATCAAGGAAGAATTAGTGGAATTTTTTCCTACGTCAGCAGATGCAAGGACGCATACTTCTGTCTGTTCTCTCCCCCTGCTTGGGGAAGCGAGTGAATGTGAATGTGGGGTGTCCAGGACATGCTGCTCTGGCCCTCCGACCCCCCCCCCCCCCCCCGGCTACAGCGATCCTCGTCTGTGCAGCCCGGTGACCAGCTGCGTCTCCCACCTCCCACCACCTGCTCTCTCCTAAACCCGTCGTCCATCTCCCATTTTTCTGTCTCGGCCTGTCCGTAATCACCAGCCGGGTAGCTAGTCTCTAAATGCCCGTCAGATTTTATTTAACTTCTGAGTTGTAAAAACAGGAACATACGAACATTCTCCTTTCTTTGTCTAGTACTTAACTCTTAAAGATCTCACTTCTCTGTGTGTCTCCAAGAATAGGCGCCGGCTGTCCCAGGGGGACGGGGGAGGGGGTTGGTGCTGATCCCGGCTGTACTGTGCAGGCCTTCGGTTGTATTTTCTCTTTTTAATTAGTATTTCATAAGTAATAAGTGTTTCATTGTAGAAAATTTACAAAACATAAACAAAAGCAAGAAAATTAAGGGTATTTCATAGCCATACTTTTTTCCTAGACCTGTATTCTTGTTTCCATTAAAAAAAATTTTTTGTTAATGTTTGTTTGTTTTTGAGAGAGCGTGATCTGGGGAGAGGCAGAGAGAGAGGGAGACTCAGAATCCGAAGCAGGCTCCAGGCTCTGAGCTGTCAGCACAGAGCCCGACGCAGGGGCTCAAACCCACAAACTGTGAGATCATGACCTGAGCCGAAGTCAGATGCTTAACCAACTGAGCCACCCAGGCACCCCTTCTGGTTTCCATATTACAAAACATATTGCATATAAGCCATTGTACCACCTGGAGCTATTTTCCACCTAACATTCTGTTTTCTTTCTGTGCCATCATATATTCTCATGAGTTTTTTATTGGCAATATAGTGGTCTGTTGTTTGGTGCTATCATAATTTACATAATCTGCATCTAGTGTTAACTACTTAATTATGTAGCATTGGGTAGTCTAATTGTATCTGTTACATACAGTGTTGTGATGACCATCCTTTGCAGCTTATTTTTTTGCATACATCCATGACCTTTTCCTTGGGCTAAATTATTTTATTTTATTTTATTTTAATGTTTATTTATTTTTGAGAGAAAGAAAGAGAGAGAGAGTATGACTGGGGAGGGGCAGAGAGAGAGGGAGACACAGAATCCAGAGCAGACCCCAGGCCCCGAGCTGTCAGCAGAGCCCCACGCTGGAACTCATGGACTGCAAGGTCATTAACTGAGCCTGAGTCAGATGCTCAACCGACTGAGCCACCCAGGCACCCCTCCTTGGGCTAAATTCTTATAAAAAGAACACAGATATTTAATTTTGACACTGACAAATCGTCCTCCAAACAGGTTGCTCTCAAAGCACTACTCTACCCACCGTATCTGGAAGGTTCCATTTTATCACCATCAAAGCTGGAGCTTCTCTGATGATTAATGAACATGACGTTTATGTTTGTGAGTTTCCTCTTTGGTGTTAGTTTTCAAGTGTTCGTCTTTTTTCTCGTTTTCATGTTTCTGAAAGAATCCGTGCATGAGGGAGGACACTAACCTGCCTTAGCACATGCGTTGTGATTGCTGTTGTGGCCTTTTGCGTTTGGAGAGGCTTTCCAGCCTCACCGAGGGCCATGTTGGTGTTGCCCACTTACGCTGATTGCTGCCCCCTCTGTAATTTAAAAATGGGTATTCATGCTGAAAGACTGAATTCCGCGCCCCAGCCCCCGGACACAAGCAGGTCTTACCCAGATGTCTATCAACAGGAGGACGGATAAAGAAATGTAGGTTTGTGCACACGTTGGGATATAGCTCAGCAACCAGAAGGAACAAATTACTCGTGCACACAAAAATGTGGATGGTCCTACTGAGGAGCAGAAGAGAGACAGAGTAGGGTAGGTTAGTGGTTGCCCGGAGCTCCGGGTGCTGGTGGAAGTGAGGAAGGGCTGGTAATGGGCACGGTTTCTTTCGTAGCAGAGCAGAAATAGGAAAAGTCATAGAGCTGAGGGCAGCTCAGCCGTGAGCCAACGAGAAACCATCGGGCTGGCTTTTACGGCATGTGAGTGAGATATCCACAGAGCTGTTCAGGAAAGGTGGATGCATGGGGCGCCTGGGGGGCTCAGTCGGTTAAGCGTCCGACGTCGGCTCAGACCATGAGTTCGTGGGTTTGAGCCCTGCATTGGGCTCTGTGCTGCCAGCTCAGAGCCTGGAGCCTGCTTCAGAGTCTGTGTCTCCCTCTCTCTCTCCGGTCCTCCCCTACATGCTCACTCGCGTGCTCTCTCTCTCTCTCTCAAAAATAAAGATTTTTTTAAAAATTAGAAAAAAAAGATGGATGCAGGAGTGTACATACTGTAACGGTTCCATTTATATCAAGTTCTGGGCAAATGTAATCTACGAAATAGAAGTAAAACCACGGCTGGGGTGGGGGGGGCAGAGGCACCAGAGAAAGCAGCGGAAACATTTGGTACTTTTTGAGTGGTGCTTACGTGGGTATTTGTGATCATCAGACCCCATCATACTGGGGGAAATTGCATTCTAATTGAGAAAAAAACCAAGCAGGCCCTGATCTTTTCTTTTTCTGTTTAAAAAGATATATTTTCCCAAGTCGTGTCTCTGCTGGGTCATAGGCTGTTAACTCTCTGTCAGTCAACAAAGATGCCAGCCAGTCATCTCAGGATCCCAGCTGCCGCCACGCCCAGGACCCCCTCACTCTGGGAAACCACCCTCCCCACCCTGGAGGTTTGCTCCTCAGCATAAGCAGCGCCCTGCACGTTATCTGATGTAATTTCATGGCTTGCAGGAACTAAAGAGTAGTTCTCCCCGCCGCAAACTGGCCAGGCATCTGTTCCGCTGGAATGTAATTTCTGTGTTAAACTTAGTCATTTTGAGACAGCGGGTTTGTCATTTCCCCCTTCCAAGAGGAAGTACCTTTATGTATCTTGAAACTCCTCAACATGCTCTGCAGGTACTTTTGGAGGGTAGGGACATTTTGGGAAGTTGTGCAAATTGTCTAAATCAAACTGTCCTTGCGTTGACGGTGTGCGGGAAATCTGTGGGCACAAAAAGAGGCGGGGCGGAAGACAAACAGCTGACCGACCTTGTGCTGAGAACCGAGCAACAATGAGCTACCGTAGCACCTCATGGCTTCTCTCTTGTGTGGGGTACAGGAGCTGGTCAGACTTACCATCGAGAAGCAGGGGCATCCGTCTCCAACCAGCCCAGTGAAGCCCAGTTCCCCAGCCTGCAGACCCGACGGGTGAGTTCTGACTCACGCCTCCAGTCACTGGTCACTTGGGAGAGAACGTGAGCCCCCATCAGGCAGGCGGTTGGAAGCCCGTATTCCTTTTTCGGTGACTGCTGGCTAAGTGCCTCTATTGCTCTAAAGTGTGTCCAGCTCACACATGTTCTGAAGTAGTGCCTGATCTCAGGGTTAGAGGTCAGTGTGACTCATTCTCAGGATACGACGTGAGCGTGCCCATGACCCATACCTGTGCTTTTCCTGAGCCGCTCCCCTTCGTCATTAGAAAGAACTTGGGAGGGTTGGGTTTTGGGGATTTGACTTGAGAGTACTGAGCTTCATCAGGAAAGTAAACTCAGAGCAACGGGGACAGTTTTAAGGCCTTGTGACCATTTCTGCTACAAGCCCCTAGTAAAAATAGAAAACATAGCAATTTGAAGCCTTTAGGGAGCCTTTAGATCATGTCTTCTGAGGTTTCCTCTTACAGACAAGGAAACTGAGATGCGGTCAAGGGGCTTTGGCCAAACTCCTGATCAAACCAGACTCGAAGCCCCATCTGTGCCCTGGAGCTCCAGGCTCAATGTCCAGGGCTCCTGCCACTCGGCCTGGTGTCATGCCTCGGTCCCATGCCCTGGTCACATCCTGCCCCTCCCGGGACCTCCGTGTGCTCTGTAACCTTCTGTAATCCCGGGTTCTTCTCATCCTCCAGCCAGTCTGAGGTCCCCCTGACAGATCGAGAGATGGAGATTCTAAACAAGACAAGTGGCCTGTCCCAGTCGGCCGAGCTACTTCCAGACTCTACAGATGAAGAGGTCGCGCCCCCCAAGCCCCCCTTACCTGGCATCCGGGTGGTTGATAATAGGTAATTTTTTATTTTTCTAGCACCCTCTTCTACTTATGATATAATCTGGTGAATGGACGGGTAGATGAACCTCAAGGAAGATGGTGCCATTAGGGTAAGACTTGGAACCCAGCCCCTCGCTCTTTAGGAGCCTCGGAATCGTGAGCGTCCCTGGGAAGGATCATCTGTGGAGGATGTGAGCCCGGCCCCAGCACCTGCTCTGGCCACACCCCCCCAGGAACACCCAGGGGCCTGCCTCTTGGCCATCCTGCAACTTATTATGGAAGGAGAAGAAAAGATGTTTCTGATTCTCGGTTTCTTGGCATCGATGGGTTTTCTTTTGGCATCACTGGTGTGGGACGGGAGTTGAAAGTGTGAAAAGGAGATGTCAAGTGTCTGATAATGAAAGAATCCCACATTCTGTACCCGGATTCCTTTTTAAAGAGCTTCTGTTTGGGTTATTCAGTTTGATAGGATTTCTTACTCTGTTTCAGTCCTCCACCGGCATTGCCACCGAAGAAAAGACAGTCAGCTCCGTCCCCAACCCGAGTGGCCGTCGTGGCCCCCATGAGTCGGGCCACCAGTGGTTCCAGCTTGCCCATTGGAATTAATAGGCAGGTAATGTCGCCCCACCTGGAAAGGCAGAGGAAGGCTCTGGGGGTGGGAATTTGGCTCCTGCTGTGAAAAGAAACCCAGTGGTCTTCAGCCCCCGGCAGTGAGAGGTGACCGTTCCTTCTCTGTACGGGACCACAGGACATGGTGGGAGTCCCCACGTGGGGGAGGAGGCCGGGGTGGGGAGGCTGGAGCCGAGGAATGCCTCCTGAGGACATCCGAGCCTGGCCCCGGGGCCCTCGCTGGCTACGCACTCCCCGTGCTCGTAAAGGTCCCTTTCTCAGAAGTCACAGACGCGGCTTGTTAGGGCTTAACATCGAAGACAGGCCATCGCAGCCGGCGTCTGAGCTTGGCAACGTCCTCCTCCGAGTCTGCATACTGATTCCTCCCCACTGGGCTCGGCCACCATTTCTCAGAAGTGACTTAGGCCTGTGTTTTATTTCTCCGCGCCAGGACTTTGACGTGGACTGTTCTGCACAGAGGCGGCTGTCAGGAGGCAGCCACTCATACGGCGGAGAGTCGCCCCGCCTGTCCCCCCGCAGCAGCGTGGGCAAGCTCAGCAAGTCAGACGAGCAGCTGTCCTCTCTGGACAGGGACAGCGGGCAGTGCTCCCGGAACACAAGCTGTGAAACACTAGGTGGGCTCAGGCTCCCTTGTCGCCTCTCCCGTCTCGTCACTTCTTGGTGGCCACTTTGGGGGTCACACGACCCCGATCTGTTTCTTCAACTGCAAGATGAGGGTACCAATCTCCGTCTGTCTCCAGGAGGTTGAGTTTAAATGAAATAACCATGGGAAGCCGCATAGGAGATGCTCAGATGGTGGCTGTTACTGTGGTGAATCTGTCTGTGTGTAATCTGACTCCCATTGCCAAAACTAAGAGCCATCTGTGCTCAGAGCTGTAGATGAAGGGGAGAGCCCCTGGCGGCTTTGGACAGAGGGTGAGGGCAAGTGAGCAGCACACGCTGACCTCCCGGCCGGTGCTGAGCACATGCCACGGGGGCCGGAGGAGAGTCCAAAAGGTAGCTTGGCAGGAGGTTCCAAGAGCGTGAAGCTGGTCATGCCCATGAGCTGGACAGTTCACTTGGAGAGTTTGCCTTAACATAATTAACATAATCAGAAATTTATAGCAAGATCTCTTCCTTTTTTTAATGTTTATTTTGAGAGAGAGAGAGAGAGAGAGAGAGAGCGTGCACGAGCTCAACTGGGGAAGGGGCAGAGAGAGGAAGAGAGAGAATTAGCAGGCTCCAAGCCATCAGCACAGAGCCTGACGCAGGGCTCCATCTCAGGAGCCATGAGGTCATGAACTGAGCTGAGATCAAAAGTCAGACATTTAACTGACTAAGTCATACAGGTGTCCCTATAGCAAGATCTGTCCCGGGAGATTAATCCCAGCATTACTGGGAGCAGTGGTAGAGACTAGAAGCCATCTAACTAGTCAGTGGTCAGAAATCCGATGAATCGTCATATATCCGCTTGGTGGACTGATACATAGCTATGAAAAATCAGTCATAATACATCAATTGATGGCCAAAATCTAAGACCACTGACATGGTATTTTCTCAGTCGGGTGTTTAAAAAACGAATCCTAGCGGGGGGGAAACATTTAGTGAGATATGTCAAATTGTAAGCAGATGATAATTAAGTTATGGGCTTGTGGATGATTTTTATTTTTTTGCCACATTTCCTACAGTGGTCACACATTTTTCTTCTTTTTTTTTTTTTTTTAACATTTTTATTTATTTTTGAGAGACAGAGCACAAGTGAGGGAAGGGCAGAGAGGGAGGGAGACACAGAATCCAAAGCAGGCTCCAGGCTCTGAGCTGTTAGCACGGCTAACAGAGCCCGACACGGGGCTTGAACCCACAAACCGTGAAATTGAGACCTGAGCCAAAGTCAGAAGCCCAATCGACTGAGCCCCCCCAGGCACCCTGCTTTTTTTTTTTTTTTTTTTTTCCCCCTAAGTAAGAGATTCAAACGATATAGGAAAATCTAAAGAACAAGATTTCAAACAGCCGTATTCCCACTTGGTTTGACTTCTGTAAGCAGGGAGAATAAGGAATATAGGGTGAAGCACAGAGACGAGATGGGAGTCGTATGTTCTCGCCCTGTGATGAATGGGATTGGGTTAAGGGGAGAGATGGAGATTGTTTCTTTCCATGGGGCCTTGTGGCTGATGCCTAATGTGCTTCCTGTCACAAACGCAGATCACTATGACCCCGACTACGAATTCCTTCAGCAAGACCTCTCTAACGCAGACCAGATACCTCAGCAAGTGGCCTGTAACCTTAGCCCGCTGCCGGAGTCCTTGGGAGAGTCTGGGCCCCCATTCCTCGGCCATCCCTTCCAGCTGCCTTCGGGACCCGGCGGCTGTCCGCAGCCGGAGGGGCCCCCGGCTCCAGGACCACAGACGGACATGCCCCCTGCTCTCCCTGAGAAGAAGCGCAGGAGCGCAGCCTCACAGACCACAGACAGCTCCGGCTGCAGGGTGTCCTACGAGCGACACCCCTCTCAGTATGACAACATCTCCGAGGACGACCTGCGGAACCCCGCCGCGGCCCAGCCCGTCCCCTTCACGCCCTTCGCTGCTGTTCTCCCCTTCCAGCAAGGAGGCTCCTCGGCCTCTGTCGAGTTTGTGGGTGATTTCACTGTTCCTGAAACGTCGGGTGACCCAGAAAAACCGCCTCCTCTGCCGGAGAAGAAAAACAAGCACAGTAAGCTTTCGTCCCACTCATGTCAGGAAGCACATTCGTGAGCTAAAGTGGCGGTGTGTTTCATTCCAGCACCGGGCCTCACGGTTTCAGAAAAGCTAGGGCCCGCAGCGCGTGGACATGTCCAGGGGCCTGGTGTTGTCAGTATTGGTGGTGGTTTTAGAGCCTGGTAAGCCGCCCTGTCCTTGCGGCTCCTCTAAAATCTGGGGCCAAGCCTTCGCGGGGCCCAAGAGTCTGGCTGGAGCACACAGCGACCTATGGGTAAAACAGGATGGACATTCGAACTTAGAGCTCACCACGCCCCTGAGGGGTTTTCTGAGGATACCCAAGAGAGTGTGCGGTTGCTGTTTAGATGGGTCCCGGGTACCCCCCTCTGTCTCCTGTTTGCAGACGTGGGGTGACTTGGAATCTGAGGGTACCTGGTTGCGCTTGCTAATGACATTTCTTAGACCATGTATTTTTAATTATACGACGTTATTAGGGCCCAGGGATGGGGCTAAAATTTTAGATCTTTGTGTTTTCCCACTGTAAAGTTGCCATCAGATTCCTAAGTCGAGTTCTGCTGGAGATTGTTTTCCTGTCCCCGCAACGGCTCCCAGTCACCGGGTGCTCCACCCTGCCCTCCCCCTCTCCCCACTGCTTGGCCCTCCGGGCACTGGCTGCCACCGATCGGATGTGTGTGTGCTTGTGTGGGCCACACGGTCCCAGGATTCCCCGGCCTCTGTCGAAGCATCCAGCAGAGAACTTCTGCCAACTAGGACTTGAATCTCCTTTCCAGGTTCCCAAATGAGAACATCTGATTGGCCCCAGCTAGAATGGGGCCCACTCTCAAAGAAGGGGAGACCTGGCCTGGTTAAACACGGCAAGGATGGCCCCGAGGGGAGCCGGATGGGCTTCGTTGCCCAGCTCCTTGCTGGGTGTCAGCCAGCTTGGGTCATACCCTGAGTGGCATGGTGTCCCCACTGAAGGGAAAGCTGCCCCTGCAGGGCTGATGATATCGTTCCCATCTGTCATTCACTCAGGAGAAGACAGGGCACTATTGGCGGGAGTCACCAATGGCAGTGCCAGGAATGTCTCCCTCTGCACGAGCAGGTGGCCCTTCCCCTCCACCCACCTTACCTTGACTTGACTGGTGTGCCGTCCTGGGCTCACACCTTTTCCTTCCCGTTCCCTTCCCACTCCCTTCCTTTCCCTTATCCAAACCCAGAATGCAGGGTGGGGATTGCATCGGTGCAGACCACAACAGACGTGTGGTGCCTGGCCGTGGAGCCAGGGGCCTCCTCTCCTCAGCTCTTAGAGCAGGTTAGGGCGTGCAGGGGCTGTAGAGAGGAGGAGGAAAGGGTTGTCTGCCCTTGCCTTTCCGACAGCCTCAAGTCTCCGGTGACTGAAAATACCTTGTGTTAATTTAGACAGCTATTTTTAGGCTTTATTTCCTCCATCGTGTCTGCAGCACTTGTGTCTGCAAACCTTGAAAAACTACGAAAAGCTTAAGATGTGGCATACCCTGGGCTAAAGCTCCCCATGCCGTCGTATTTCATCCTTACACCCTGGTCAGGCAGGGATATTGGTGCCCATTTGATAGATGAAGACATGGAAACGCAAGGGGCCTGAGCCTTGCCAGGGTTGCCAGGCAAGCGGGTGGCAGATGTGGGCTTCAGGGCAGGCCTGTGTTCTCCCTGCATGACGCACCGCCTCCCACGCTAAGAAGGAAGGGGTCCGGCCCTCCTTTGTGGAGACTGTATGGGTTTCAGTAGTGACCCCCAGGCAGCTGGGAGTCATTTCCGCACCCTGTGCAAGGACCCCAAACTTGAGGCACAGCCCTAGTCTCCAGTCAGCTCCTCCCTCCCTGGGGGGACCCTTGGGGAGTTCCAGGCTTTGCCCCAGTGGGAAACTTGCACGGTTACTCTGAGAGGAGGCAGGAGATGGACGTCATCCCCGTATGTGGCTCATGCGGACGGCCTCGTGCACACGCAGTCCTGGAGTCACAATGTCCTACTCCTTTGGATGGCACTGACATCTTTGGGGTCCTCGGCCCCTCTTGCTGAAGTGGCCCCCCGAGCCCCTTGTGCCCCCAAGCCCTGCCTAACCACTGCCCTGGGTGCCCGCGGGGAGCGCCAGCCTGCGGGCATTCCCAGTGATGCCGGCCACTCCCTTCTCTGAGCCCTTGGGCTGCCTTTGAAGCGGATCCCTCTTCTTAGTCCTTGACAGTCGTGAGCCCCACTACTTTGCTCTGCTTGGTCAGCAAGAACTTTGTCAGTTCAGGTCTTCCTGAAGCTTCCCATTTGAGTCCCTACCAAAGAGGGGCATGTGCCGTCTTTGTAGGGAGCATTTGGTAGGCGTGTGGGGACCCCTTCAGAGGCTTGGATCTTCCTCTGGGACCTCATGGTGTTGGTGCCGCATGGGAGGAAAGCCTCATGGGGCTGGGGGGGGTGGGGACGGTGAGCTGCCCCGGTGGCAGCCGTGCCCTCTGGGTGAGATGCCTTCACCAGCCCGCGCTCGGTGCTTGTTGGAGCAAAGACCCTCGTACGGATCCTTTTAAATAAAGTAGATTACTTTAAATCCCCCCTTCAGTGCAGGACGTCAGAAGACATCCCTAAAGAAAGGCATTTCTTGTCTACCCTCAATGTTGAGGCTATTTGAAAATACAGGATTAAGCCCTGCAAAATTGTTCTGGCCGCTTTTTCCTGGGGTCTAGCACATGCTCTTAGCACCTGTGACATGACCCGAGAGGACAGTGCCCAGCTTCAGGCGGTGCCTTCGCTGGTGGCCCTGTGCCTGCCACACGCACACTGGAGTTCCCTGGCTTCCAAACCCGGGCCCTTTTCCTTCCCAGCTCCCGTTGTCACCAGCTCCCCTCTGGCGTGAGCACAGCAGCCCTGTAAGGACATTGATCGGCCCCCGCTCCCAGCTCGTGAATCACGGACACATAAAGCACCTGCCCTTCAACCATGGGCCTGTTGATGTTGACAGGGAAGTCCCTGCTCTCAGCTGCTTCCTCCACTGCTGAGACAATAGGAGAGGCAGCACCGCGTTCCAGGCTGGCCTTGACCCAGACCTTGCCATGGGGAGTGTCAGGTGCAGTTTCTAGTCCCACAGATCTGGGGGCTGGAGAAGGCCTTCGTTAGGATGCCAAAGAGCTGGACACAGGCACACACCGTCACTCTCCCCGAACCTGTGGAGTCTCCAGAAGGGGCTGGCTCTGGAGGTGGGGCTCGGATCACCCCAAAAGTCAGGAGTGAGGCGCACACCGGTGCTCCCACACAGGGGCTGAGGGCTCTGCGCCTGCCTCAGGAAAGGGTGCCTGCGAGGATGGGCCCCTGCAATGCCTCGCCTCCCCACATGGGTGAGGCCCCTGCTGGCGTCCCCTGCCGGGGCCGCTGGCGGTGACGCCACACAGCTCGGGCAAGGGAGCCCGTCCCTGGGAGGCCGTGCAGCTACAGGCTGTGCCACCGCGGGCAGCCGCTCGGCGTCAGGTGGCAGGGTGGCAAGGGCTGGCGTTTCTGAAAGGGTGTTTAGGGAGGAGAGGGCGCACATGTTTGAACTCAAGCATGTCTTTTTTCACCGTTTGTATCTCCCTGAGGACGTTCGTTCTGAGTCCTCTCAGCTGGAGGGGGAGAAGGTGTGCAGTGGCTGTTACTTCTCGTTCACCCACCGGGTGCTTTACAGGACCCGCCCCAGGGCCATCGCCCGGCTCAGCAGGTCCCGCGGTAGGCGCAGAGGCCGTGTGTTTCATTCACTCCTTCATTCTGCAAATACCTGTGCACACCTGCGGTGCGTCAGGTGCTGGTGACGCAGCAGCGGTCCCGACGGACACGGGGCCTGCCTTCCCGGGGCTTCAGCTCCAGCAAAGGGCAGGAAATCCAGTTGCATCTGCTTTAAAAGTATATCCTGCATCAAGCCACTCTCACCACGTTTGCCCACAGTGCGGTCCTTCACCCGAACGAGCACAGAGGCCCTGGAGTTGTTTTCTCGTGGCTCCGCAGCGGCAGGCGGGCCCGAGCAGAGCCCTTTGCTGCTTCTCGCCAGCGGGCCGTCCTTGCCCCTTTCCCGCGTCCTCGTGACCTCCCAGGCGACTGCCTCGCTCCTTCCCGTCTCCCCTTGCCAGCTACGCTCTGCTCACCGGACCCTCCGGCCCGGCCTTGGCCTTTGCCGGCCTGTAGGCTCGGTGCGGAAGTCCTTCCGGAGGGAGAGTGCGCACCTGGGGGGAGAGTGGGAACGGGGCCTGGAGACCCCCAGGCCTTGTCAGCGGGGAGGTGGGGCCCCAGTACGCTTTTTCAAAAAGAGGCTTTATTTCTTAGAGCTCAGCAACACTGAGCAGAAAGTACAGGGGGTTCCCGTGTGTCCCGGCCTCCCCGCTGTCACCGGCTCCACCAGAGCCCCACCCGTCAGTCACCCAGCCTGCAGGGTCGCGCCAGCCTGAGCCTCAGTTTACATAGGACTCCCTCTTGTCGTGTTCCCATAACTTCTGACTGTTGTAGCGTCCGCCCCGCCCCCTGGGAGTCTCCCGTGGGCCTCGCCCCGCGGGGCCAGTGGGTGTAGGGAGAGGGTGCGCTGGCGGGGGGCATCCGGTCACGGCCCAGGGCCCCGGCCCTCTCTGTCTCGCAGTGCTGGCCTACATGCAGCTGCTGGAGGACTACTCGGAGCCGCAGCCGTCCATGTTCTACCAGACGCCGCAGAACGAGCACATCTACCAGCAGAAGAACAAGCTCCTCATGGAGGTGTACGGCTTCAACGACTCGTTCAGCACCGAGGCCCCGCAGGAGCTGGCCCCGCCCCCCGCCCTGCCCCCCAAGCAGCGGCAGCTGGTAAGCCCCCCTCGACTTCCGGGGCGCCGTGCGTGCCGCGCCGGGTCCCGCAGGCTGCTTTCACTTCCTCTAGACCAGCCCACCGGCCGCAGCCTCCCACTGCCTGGTCTCCCCGCCCGGGGCGGTGGCGCCTTCGCTTCCCCGGCTGCCCCTGCCGCTGGGCCTGGCTTGTACGCAGCATGTTTGCTCTCTCTGCTGACAGTCTCTTGGATTTTTTTCTCTCTTCTTTGGCTCCACTATAGACCTCCCAGAAAGGAGGGACTCCATCAAAGCACAGGGCACGGTCTGTGTATGGCCATCTGTGGCCCTGATTTACATAATGGCCTCGCTCCACAGACTGACTTACACCCCGCCCTGGCCAGGGACGGCCCCATGGAAACAAGCTCTATTGGAGCATGATGGCCTGAAACAGAGCAGTTCTGTGTTCCCAGCACGCTCCCTTCCTCCCCCGAGAGCACTCGCGTGTGAGGATTCCCCGTAGGTAACGACACCCAGGTCGGCACAGAGGCCAGGCTTTCCTGCGTGGGCGGCACGCGAGGCTCTGGCCCAGGCAGGGGTGTGTGAACCCCGTCCTCCCTGCTGCCCGTGTCCTGACCGCCTGGTATGGACCCGGGGTCAGCCCGTAGAATCCGAGCATCCCATCTGGCCGTGTTTTCCAGGAAGAGGGCACCTCGGAAGGGGATTCTCAACTTGTTCAGAGCTGCACGTGCTGTTTCGGTCATAGCCTGGCCAGCCTGGTAGTGTTCCCACCGCAGAGGTGACCGGCTGGCTGGCCGTCTTGCGTCCGCCGTGACAGGACACAGAGGTGCTGGGAACCAGCTGCTGACCGGACAACCAGGGTCCCCGGGTTACTCCCCAACGCTGCCCGCAGGGGCCCCGAGCCCGCATTCAGGACATTCAGGGGCCGACCAGGCAGAAGTGCGCCCAGCCCTGGGAGACAGGCTGCTCTCGCAGAAGAAAGGCGGCGCCCACCCTGGGCCCTAGGCCTGCCACTGTCTAGGCGTGTCTCACGACTTAGACTCAGGGTCTCAGTCCTTCACCCCCACCCCCACAGACACCCGAATATGCCCCGATGTGAATCTAAATTACTCTGAAAATGTTTCAAAAAGGGATCTTTACCGTGGAAATAGAAATGCTTGCCCCAGGGACCCCCTAACCTAACCAAATGGTTTGGTTGAGCAGCCAAACCAGATTTCGTGGAGACCTGAGAGTCTCAGCCCCTCTTGCCAGTGTCCACAGGTGCCCACTGGTCGCCCTCAGGCATTTTCCCTGCACCGTGGAGCCCACAAGCTTCACACAGATCCCTAGTGAGCACGCTTGGACTCCGAGCCCGTCTGGGAGCGCCTGCAGGGCACCCCACCACGCCAGCCCGGTGGTAGCGAGGGCTCAGCAGAGGGGCAGACACTCCGCTGAACGCCTCCGTGTGTCAGCATGGGGGGCTTCTGTTTGATTTCCCGTGATCCTCTCCACAACCTCTGTCACCCCCACGTTAAGTAAACTGAGGCTGAGAAAGCCACAGTGACTTAACTGGAGCCCACCCCCTGTTGGAAGCAGAAGGTCCGGGGACCGAGCCCAACTCTGACTGAACCCTGGGCGCCGCATGTGATGTGCCCCATGCCGGCTGCTCAGCGTGCCCCCTCTCAAGTGCAGGTGCAGGGACGATTGTCTCTGTTTTACCAGCAAGTAATTGTACCCGTGAGCCCTCATATGGTGTGGCAGGCATGGTTCTGAGTGCCTTACACGTACACGGCCCTAGACAGCTTTGTCCCCACTTTACAGATGATGAACCTGAGGCACAGATAGCTTTAAATGATGCCTGAGGCCAAGCAGGTCACGAATGGTGAGGCCCAGGTTCAGAGCCGGTTGGCCTGGTCCCAGGAGTCCATGCAGTCCGCTGGAGCATAATAACTGCATGGGCTGCTCCCACAGGGTAGGAAGAGGCCCTGAGTAGTAAGTGGAAGAGATGGGGTCCAGAGCCGGGTACGCAGGCTCCAGGCCCTCTCGGCCTCCTTCCACCTTCCAGCCACTTCCAGTGGATGCCGCTTATACAGAGGTTAGCTTTTTAAATCTGTCACAGGGAGGTGAAGGAGGGCACCCTCTTGTCCGGGTGGACTTCGACAGGCATCTTTGACTCCTAAGCTGAGCCAAGAAGCCATCCCAGATGTCCAGGCAGAGCTAGGCAGCGGCCTGTGTAGGCGTCTCGTGTACCTGCCTGACCGTTCTCTGCTTTTCTCCCTCCTTCCCTGTCTTCTCTCTCGTCCCTTCTGTCCAGCAGGCCTCCTATGCTGCTTCTTCCTTCTCCTCTGTCTCCTACTGTGTCCAGCAAACTAAAGTGGCCTTCATCCCCGAGGACAGCAGTGCCACTCAGGGCATCAGTGTGTCCGTCTCTAACTCCTTTCTCAGCCGGCACGGCAACTTGCCTGTGCCCTCGGTGAGTCGCTCCCTGCTGCTCTTTGCTTGGAAACGTGAGTGCGATCTTTCGTTTGTCGCCTGTGCCTGCTGGTGTGTGTGCTCCTGCCCAGGCCGGACTCTCCTGCACACCCTGCGCTAGAGGGGAAGGGGCGTGTGTGGTTGGTTCTCTGTGGCCTAAGGACTGTGTGGAGTGTTGGGGTGGGCGAGGTGGGGGTAGGGATGGGGAAACGTTAGCAGCCCTACTCTGAGCCTCACCACTCAGGCATAAACTGGCAGAGATGTTTTGGTCTTTTTATTTTGATCTCCCGTCGGGCCTTGGGTCAGCCCTGTAAGTGTTCTGTTTTGAAGAAGAACTAGTCTTCCCAGGAGAAGCAAGGCTGAGGAGAGCAGGCTTTACCAGGGCGTGATGGGGTTTGGGTCTGGGTCTGGGGGCCCTGCCCATTAACCATTGCTGCGTGACAAACCGTTCCAAAACCCAGTGGCTTAAAATGGCAGTAACCACTTGTCATCGCTTAGGACACGGGTCGGCAGGGTGCTGGCCGATCTGATTTTGGCTGGCCTCGCTAACCTCTCGGGAACCTCAGCCGGGACCGCTGGCTGATTTGGCTGTGGTCCCCATGACCCACCAGCCTTGAGGAGGCGGAATCTACCCGACTCCCCGAATCCAGGCTGGCCTCTTGCGAGGGGGCTGCTGCCAAATCACATTGCAGAGGGCCAGACGTGGACCCGGGAAGGGAAGGGGTGCGGCCATTTCTGTAAGCAGTTTACTGCTGAAACTTAGGGGACACTCACACTCGAGGAGGCCCAGTGCCGCTCTGTTGTCTTTTACTGGAATCTCCATCTGTCCAGGAACCGAAAGGGCTACCACTGTCCCTTTTATTTGTTAAAATGGGACCGAGCAGCAGGCATAGAATGTGGACAGGGTTTTGTTTGGGTTCTCCTTAAAATCAGTTTCTGCCTTTGGGTGATTGACTTCCCCTTCCTGACCTCCACTCCCTTCCATTGAGGTTATGCTTTTTACTTGTCTCTTATTTTGTGACTGTGAGAGATTACGTAAAATCCTAGGAAACTGCCAGGCACATAGTCGGCTTAGAAAGTTTACTATCACAGCACTTGCTCTCAGAGTTCTGGATCCTGGTCTCTGCTCTGTCCTAATTCTGTGCGTGAGAGCTTGGACAAATGGCTTGACCTAATGGTCCCCCCAGATGGACTTCCTTTTCCTTCTAAAACCAGTGAGATTGACCTGGTGACTCTCAGAGAGAGGGTTCCCAGTGTGGGCTTGTCTGGTTTCCATCTCTGGGAACCGCCCATCCAGGGCCCAGCTCAAGACAGTCCTGCCTGAGGAGAGGAATGCACTGCTCCTCTGGGAGCTGGGGCCTAACTCCTGAGAGTTAGGCTCCTCAGCAGCCCCATGCTTGCTCTAGAAAGGCCCAGCAGCCCTCCCTCCCCCCCGCCCTGCCCTGGCACACAGACGCCCTCTGTTTCCTCAGCGGGCACTTCTGGCGAGCTCCTTTCACAGATGGTGCAAAACTTGGCCTGTAGACAATCTAGCTCTTGACTGTTTTTCCCCCTCTGTGAACAGAAGGAAAGTGTGAGTTATCCTAAGAAAGTGTCCACAATGTCCCTTTTGAACAGTTTGGGCTTGGGGGGCTGTCTGTGAGCTGCACTGTTTGCTCCGGAGTTGATGGAAGTTTGAGGGGGTTTTAATGATGCTTAGGCGTGAGTATGTCCGAGTTTCCAGCCCCAGGAACGTAGGGGAGGCTCAGGGCACCTCGCATCAGCAAGACCACACTCACAGCAACAACTCCACAGCAGAGCCCGAGGGAGTGCTACTCAGGGTGCTTGCTTTCCTAAAAGGAAAGCCTCCCCCTCTCCCCCCACCTCCAGAGCTGTTGGTAATTTGGTAATGGCCTGAAGGTTGGAAATGTTTAAACCCTGAGAACGGTGGTGTATCACAAGGCCAACATCTTTTTTTTTTTTTTTTTTAGATGTTTGTTTTTGAGAAAGAGAGCAAGCAGGGGAGGGGCAGAGAGAGAGAGAGAGGGAGACACAGAATCTGAAGCAGGCTGCAGGCTCTGAGCTGTCAGCCCAGAGCCTGACACGGAGCTCAAACTCATGAACTGTGAGATCATGACCTGAGCTGAAGTCAGACGCTTACCGGACTGAGCCCCCCAGGCGCCCGAGGCCAACATCTTCTTTATGTACTTCCTCCTTGCGTTCTGAGATGAGCCCAGGGGCAGGGCTTTGGGTGGCTCTCAGAGAGGCCAGTCATGCCCAATCTCCTCATTGTGTCGCTCCTGGGCCTGTGTCACCACCCGCCCACCACAGAGTTCTGGAGGAGTGCCGCTTAGGGGTGCAGCGGTTGTCAGATCTGACGCCGCCGCACCTTGTCCGCGGCCCGTTATTCCTACCGGAAGGTTAGCCATTGAAAGCCCCTTGAATGGGAGCAGGAAGGCTGCACTGGCCAAGCTTGATTGAAGGGCTGTAAAAGCATCCTGTCCGCTCTTCCTGGTGTTCCAGGTGGAGTTTAATTCAGCAAGCGCAGGGATTCTCGTGCCGGTCATGCGGCAGGAAGGACCCAGAGTGGCCCAGATGGCCCCATCACCCTCGACAAGCGCTTGCTGTTCCGTAGGCAGAATAAACAAGCGTGGAAGAGACTTGTGCTGGGGCAGGGTAGGCGTGAGCCCAGTTGAGTCACGGGCGGTCGTGGAAACTGGGGGCCGTGGAGCCGGGACAAGGGCAGGCAGAGTCTCCTGGGAAAGGTGACACTTGGACCACTGCCTGATGGACAGTTAGGATTTCAGGGAGACACGGGGCAAAGGTCAGGGAAGACACGTCCAAGATGTCCCACACAAAGGATGTTCCATCCTACCTGGAGGCCTCCCGTGCATTCTGCAAGGTCACCGTGAGTGTGAGTCCTCGAGGGGTGGGGTTGTGGGGAGCTGGCTGAGGGCAGTGAGCAGAGCCCGCCCTCCCACGTGTCCTCAGGGTCAGCGCACCTTAACTGAGACAGACCCGCTTCCCCAGAGGCTCCTCCCTGAGCACGGCCCTCGGGGTTCAGGCCAGGGGGTGCGCACACTCCTCCTGGCATCTGCCACTGCGTCTGCTCGGCTCTCATCCCGGAGAAGCGTTCGCTCGCAGTCCACAAACTTCCCGTCCTGCCCAGCTCGTGCTGCATCATGGGAAACGTGAACGTCTGCCCAGACAGGCCTGTGCTCTCTGGGGTGTCAGATAGAGGAAGGTGTTCAGGGACGTGAGGAGTGAGTGAGAGGCGGGAAAGCCATGGAGAGCCAAGTGCAGGGAGGCCGGGCCCCGTCCCTGAGAGGACCCCGCTGGGCGCTGGCAGCGTACCTGGCCCGCGGGAGCACTGGAAGGCACTTCAGGGACGTGCCTTCCTACACACAGCTCTGACCTGATAGTGGCGTCCTCCCCTTCTGTCCCCAGACTCTCCCGGTTCACTGGTACCCTGGGGGCTGCCTGCTGTGTCCTCAGCACAGCCCCGCCACGTCGGCCACCCGCCTTCCACCTCCACGCCAGTCCCCGTCCTTCCGGAGGCGGCCCTCCCTGCCCTGCACTGAATTCCCAGGCCCCTTCTCGGGCGTGCTTCGGCTTTGCTTCCGAACCCTTGCAACTCCAGAAAGGATCTTAAAAGTTGGATGGGGTCTATATGCACTTGACCCTTGACCAGGGTGTTGAGAATCTCGCAGTAACCGTCAGGGTTGCCACTGCCCTCCAGGGGTTGAAATGTTGGCATTAGAACAGTCACCCTCCTCCGTCCCCGAGGCTGTTTTCTGGCACATCCTTCTTCGCTGACTGCAAGGTGCACACATTTGACTGTCACTAAAAGATCTGCCCAGGTGCTGGGAGTACATTGAAATGTTTCTTTACCATCTTGGCTTCCAGAATGATTCTGAGTAGGTAAAACTGCCGGAAGACCCAGGTTTTGAGAAGAACTTGAGAGATGCCTATGATAATTGCCATTTCTGTAAAACAGCGTTTTTAGGGTAAGAAAATCCAGTGTGTATCATCTCGAGGACTTCAGTTAAAAGCGGGGGGGTGGGGGGGACTGCAGAGCAGCTGGTGTCCCATTCTGGGCAGAGAGCGATTCCCCGAAGCGCTGGACCCGGGTTTTTGTACATCAGGACATACGCTTTCCCTAGAAGGCCTGCCTCATAGACCGTGTTTCTCTGCCATGCCTTCCCCTCCCGGCTATACCGCCAGGGCCCAGGCCCTGAGACACGTGGAGGCCCCTGAAGTCCCACGAAGGCACCTGTCACTCGCCTTTTCTGCCTTGAACAGCAGCCCAGCAGCTACTGCAGAGACTGTGGGCCGAGAGAGTGGGAAGGGAAGGTGCAGGGGACAGACTGGAGTGGGGACGGGGAGGAGGATGCGGGCTCGGCCCCGCGCGGGTCTTCCGCACACACAGGGAAAAGAGAAGCCCCGGTCTCCTCACCTCTGCCCTGCTGCTTCTTGATGACATCTTGCCTCTGTGGTTTCCTGACCTGCTTACACCTCGCTCGCCTTGAGAGATAAGAGCGGGGGAGTGTCTGTGGACGGCGCTGGGGGCCCAGGGATGGAGCATCTTCCCCGAGCCCCACCTGGCCTGGCCGGGAGGTTCCGCTGGCCTGCCGGACTTGCCGGGCTCTCCCGCACAGTGGCCCCCGGCACCTCCTGTGCCACATGGTCCTTCTCGGTCTCAGAGGCTGGGGGGTCTCTGGGGGTTTCACACCCTGGAAGTTGTAGACTCGTACTCTGCCCCCATTCTTGGGGGGCCCTAACACCATGGGGCATCCTCAAGTGCAAGTGCGGGCCCCTCACCAGACTCGTACTCATCTCCCTGGGATTAGGAAGTAGACCCCACATGCCTGCCGGGTGCGGGCCCGGCCGAGCCCCTCTGCTCCCATCCTTGTTATGTCTCAGAATGTCCCCACTGTCCCCGAGGTGCCCCAGCAGGAAACGGCGGGCTGTCTTTCCTCCCTGGCCACACACGCACCACACTGCCATGTGACGTGTCCGGCC